ATCCAAAGGCTGAAGAGACACTTTAAAATAATGTGTTGCAGTTTATAAAGGATTTATCTTTTTTTTAATTCCTCTAAGTACTAAGCTATCCCATAAGTACTTGAAAAGAATGTGTATTCTTTATTGATTGGGTATGATAATCTGGGTATGACAATTAGGTTAGTTAGTCAGTTATTTTGTTAGGTTGCTGTGTTATTACTTATCCTTTCAGCTTCTTAATCTATATCATTTACTCAAAGAGAAGAGTTAAAATCTACAGCTCCAAATTATAGTTTTGTCTGTTTCTCCTTTTCATTCTTTTAAAGTTATTTTTATGTACTTTTTTGTCATTCGGTACATATAAGTTTAAGGTTATTGAACTGTATTGGAAAAAATACTTTTGGAAAAAATTCAAAATACAGTTCCTTTTGAATTAATTATTTAGTCTTGCTGAAAAAAAAACCTTTTTATTCTATATACTTCTTGCCTTGAAGACTGCCTTTGCCTTATCCAGCCAGCTGAGCTTTCTTTTGGCTAATGGTTATAGGTTACATCTCCTTTCATGTTTTTATCTGCCTGTATTTTTATATTTCAAATATTCTTATATTTTAAGACCTTCTCTTGTAAACAAAAATAATTGTGTACTCATGTTTTTGTATGTAGTATATTTGATTCACTTGTATTTAATATTATTGTTTAGGTATATGCATACCATTTGCCTTTAAGGTTGTTTTTTCATTGAGTTCTACCTCATTTATTTTTGCATTCTTGCCTGTTACTATATTAATCAAATATATTCTATTATTCTATTTCTCCTTGACTTTAATTATAATTCTTATAAAATTTTCTAGTTATCCTATACAAATATGCAGTCTCTACTTATTAAGTTCTACCATAAATAAGCTCGAACCACCCAACTAATGTGAAACTTTCACTAATGTTTGGATTCACTTAACCACCCCCCCAGTTGCATCTTTTGTGTTATTGCATTCATATAATTTACTAATGCATATATTTTAAATGTACAGCCACTTTGGGGCAGCAATCCATTCCCAGTGATGCTTGAATAGTACAATGCTGATAATCAAACCTCAAGCCCAGGACTCAAACCTTGAACCTGGGGTTCAATCCTCAAACCCAAGGGCTCCCACCTGCAAATCAGGTGCTCTAGACCCACAGGCCATTTATAGATTTTTTTCTAAACAGTGGCTTTGGTCTGCCCACTTATTTACTCTTTTTGGTGTTATTTAGTTCTTCCTGCAGTGTCCTCTTTCCATCCAGAATTGCTTTCTATTAGCCCTACTAACTTCCTTTTTATTTTTCATAACTTAAATATGTTTGAAGCCACTCCCAAGCAATGCTCAGAGGACCATGTATTTTCCAGGACCAGACCTCAGTCTCCTGCATGGAAACCTGCCCTCGGTCTGTTGAGCTATTTCTCTGGCCCTGTAACCTAGATCTGATTGGCCAGAATTTCCCTCAGCTTTGACTTGTCTGAAAATATTACTATTTCACCTTTACTCTTAATGGGTAGTTTTACCGAGTATAGAACTCTAGGTTGGTCCTTTTGCCCCTTTATTTTACCCCTTTAAAGATCTTCTCTTTGCAAGTTTTTTTTTTTCAGAAGACACTGATTTACAAAGCTATTCATAGTTGTGTTTTACTTATTTATTTTATTTATTTATTGAATCATTGTGAGAAAAGTTACAAAGCTTTCAAGTCTCGGTCATACAATGATTAAACACCTTGCCCTTCACCAGTAATTATTTTTCACCACCAAGAACCCCAATATACCACCCTCCCACCCCTCCCGATGCCTGTGAGGCAGATGATTTCTACTTAACTCTCTCTCTCTACTTTGATTACATTCATTATTTCAACAAAAGATGCACCATTATTGTTTGGAATCCCCCCCCCCAACAATCAGAACTGCTGAAAAGGCATTGTGAAATAATTTGTTTTCTATTGGGGGTTATGAAAACCATATGAAGTCACACGGCCACAATCACGCAATTTTTGATTTCCAATACTTTACTAATTAAGTCTGGGGGGCTTTCTGCCAAGAGCCGGATAATTATGAGATTGGTTTCTGTGTGTCTGGTACCATGGCTGTGCCAGAAAGCCGCTCGTGGGGGGCAATTTGTGGCCTCAGTAGGGCATGAAGGACGAGCCGGTTTCACCCCCCTTCCCATGAGGCTGCAGTTGCCCCATCACCACTGGCTCATACCTGGCTTTCCAATAAGCTCTGAGGCGGCAGCCACCATGCTGCTGGGGGCAGGGGGCGGTGGAAGAGACAAACGCCCTTTCCCTCCCAGGTGGGCATGGCGCCATAGTTTAACACATAGTCCATTCACATTTCTGCTGCAAGCTGCCAGGCTCTGGATTAAGTCCATGTGCCTCTGGAGCCATGGCCATGCCGGAGAGCCACTCGTGGGGGGCAACTCCCACAGTTGTGTTTTAGACATACAATGTCCAGCACCAGTCCCACCACCAGTGTCAGCTTCCCTCCCACCACACCCAGTACCAGCCACCTCTTTGACAGGCACTGTTTAAAATTTGGTTGTTGTGATTTGGATTGCCTGCTTTCATTGTTACTGACTCTGGGTTTGGCTATCACAGATCACAGATCATCCTGTTATTCATCGATTGCCTCTAGCAGGCCCCAGTAATGTCTCCTTCATCCTGGCCCTGAGGTTATATTCAAGGCTCTTTAGGAGAATGAGACCCATCATTGTTACTGGTATTTGGCATATTGGGTGCGCCACTGGGAGTTTGCCAGACTCTGCCGTGTGGGCAGGCTACATTCGGTAGCCTGCCAGTTTGTCAAAGTAGGAATGAGATGTCATAATAAGATGTCGCGCAGCCGCAAATGCGGCTGCGCGGTTCCGGGAGCTGATTTTTATAGTCTCAGAGTCTTGGCCGCTGATGGGATTACACGGCGCCAGGGGGCCAGTTGGTGGGTGTGACCCCCGCCTACTGGAATTTGGAGGATCTGGGTGGAGGATGCTCGACTCCAATCCGAGTAGGGTTTGGCTCTAGAGCTATACCATTCCTCAGCACTACCCAAGGCCCTTCTTCTCTTGCCACTATCATAGTCTACGCTGAAAAGTTAACTATCAATATTGCTTTTAAGTGTAAAAAATAGTGCTTATTTTTCTTCTGCTTTAAATTTTTTTTTTTTTTGCTTTTTGGGTCACACTTGGCGATGCACAGGGGTTACTTCTGGCTCTGCACTCAGGAGTTACTCCTGGCGGTGCTCAGGGGATCATATGGGATGCTGGGAATCAAACCCGGGTTGGCCGCGTGCAAGGCAAACGCCCTACCCGCTGTGCTATCTCTCCAGCCCCTCTGCTTTAAAGTTTTTTACACTTTCATTTTATTTCTACCGCATCCCTTATTTTCAACAGTTTTTTAACAGTGCTATCTCTCTGTGAAGTTTCAGAGTTTTTCTTTTTCTACTTGTGAATTGTTGGACTCTTCTTTCATAAGTTCTCAAATACTGTTTTTACCTCCATCTCTGTTTTCTCCCTCTGGGATTGTAGTTATCCATTATAGTCCACATTTACCTCTTGTGTGTGTTTTATGTCTTTTTTGTTGTTGTTGTTCATTCTGTTATCCCCAAATCTTAGACCAGTGCATAACCATACTAATAAATTCTCATTAACTATTGGTGGAATGAATGGGCTATCCCTTTACTTTGATAATGTGTGGGTTATTGAAGTAAAATTCAAAATACTGTAGCACAGCTGTGTATATAATGCTGGGGGCGGGGGCGGGGGCTCCCACATGGTTGGGGCTTAGTCAGACAAGACATTAATAAAGAGACAACCCTGGAGCTGAGTGCTGAAAGCTAGTATTGACCAGAAGCAAGAGAGAACTCAACAGATTTTAATGTGCTCGTGTTGAACCAAACCAATGGGATTAGAACTTGGGGACAAGTGAAAGGTAGTGATCCTAAATATAACAGGTGAGCAGGGCAGGAGCAAAATCATAGAAGTCTTTGGATATCAGGGTAAAGAATTTGTGCTTTTGGCTGGGGAAATGGCTCAAAGGGCTAGAGCACGTGCTTTGCATAGGAGAGGGCCAGATTTGATCGCTGACACTGCATGGTACTTCAAGCATCACTAGGAACAACACCTGAGCTCTGAGCTCTGAGTAGTCTCTGAATACTGTTGGGTGTGGACCCCCCTAAAACCAATTAAGCTTTACCTTAAAGTAATATGAGACAAAGATATTGTTGTGGGGCAAAAGCTTTCCAAGTGATGCTCAGAGATCACCTTGTCCCCAGCAATTCTCAGTCAGCCAGGCCATTGATTTAGTGCTAAGACCCACAGATGTAGTGATGTACAAGCTCTGCAGTGCTAGGGATTATCCTGGCCACTGGTACAGGGATTCACCCAATGATGCTTCGTGGACCATTTGGTACCAGGGATCTAACCAGGGTTTGCCACATGCAAGGCATGCAGCTTAAACTTCCATATTATTTCTCTAACTCCAGGAACAAAAATGTTTAAGGTAAGGGAAGATGCTATCAAGCTTTACATAGATTGATGTATGAAATCCCTCACTTGGTTGCCAGGGCCCAGTTTCAAAATGTAAGACCTTATCTCAAGTTACTCTGGAAATGGGGGGGGGGGGGGCAGGAGAAGGGAGACATGATTTCCTCTTCTGAGCCTCTGATCTTTATTCTTAGTAGGTAAGGATTTAGGCTCATATGAGATATTTCACCTCTGAAGTATTGGTTTATATGCTTTAACTAGAAGCCTTGGGCAATTTTTAATACTTTTTCCGCATCTGCCAGAAATAATTAAAACTTTTCATTCGAGTCTGTCTAAATTCAGCTTTCCCCCTGAGATTTTATAGAATTTAGGTCAGCCGCCATGAAAACTAGCTTTTCAGCTTAAAAATTACCCAAGTGGAAGAAGCCTCCTCCCCTCCCCCCTCCTTTTTTTTTTTTTTACTGTCTGGGATGGGAATGCAGGTGGGAGGAGAGGGTGATAGAATGAGTCTTTTTCTTGCAGTTGTGATTCCAAAGAATCCCTATCCTGCATCTGATGTGAGCGCTGAGAAGCCCAGCATCCACAGCAGCACCAAAACTGTCTTGGAGCATCAACCAGGGCAAAAGGGGCGTAAACCGGGAAAGAAGCGGGGCCGGACACCCAAGCCCCTAATCCCCCATCCCATCTCTACCCCTTCCAAGTCAGCTGAAACTTTGAAATTCCCAAAGAAGAGGGGTCCCAAACCTGGCAGTAAGGTAGGTAAACATGTGAGTGTCCCAGAAGGGGATGAAGGGTTCTCAAAGGATGACTCCATTTCCCTCCATCTGGGGAAGGGGGCGTACCTGGCCCTGGTCCCTACTCAGTACGCCATGCCTTTCAGAGGAATCCCCTAGACCATCATCCCCCTTAGCTGCTTGCCTTGGCCTTGCTGATAATGCAGAGAGGGTGGCATGGATCAGAAACAAACATTTTAAATCACAATTTTGATTTTCCATTGGTTTGCAAAACTGACATCTCAGGAGCCCAACTTCACATCTCTGTACGTGTAGTCAAGTCACCACGCCCACCAGGAAACCCCAGTCAGCCCTTACTCTTCAGATGGCTCCTTCCACCCGCTCCTCCTGCTCCCCGCCCCCCTTCCCTCTGCTAACCACCTTATTCTTCAAGAAATGAATTTTGAGAGCACAAGTGGTAATACAGAAAATACTTACTTTGCACATGGCCAACCTGGGTTTGATCCCCGGCACCCCATATAGTCCTCCGAGCCTGCGAAGCATGATCCCTGAGCACAGAGCCAGGAGTAAGCCCGAGTACTTCCAAGTGTGCCCCTCTCCCCCCCAAAATTTTTTTTGACTTTGAAAGTTGTTCATATTTGAGGGAATTCTTTTCAAATATCTGCCATACATGGAGCACATATCTTGTTAACCTCCCCAGTATGTATGTCTAGGCACATGAAGAGGAAAAGTAAATCTATTCTATAAATTGTAAAGGTTTGTCTTTTTGTGACTCTACCTATCTTTTAAAAAAAATAGAAAAATCGCTCGATACTTAGTATTCAGTTTGGAATCAGGCAGTGTTAACACATCTTTCATATTCACAAAAGCATAGGAGAGAGTGGTGTTAATGTTATTTCATAGTTAATTGTGAGCTAGAGCTGTGACATTCTAATTACTCCCCTAAAATAACATAGCTAACAATGACAACAGCTAATAGGTGCCCAGATTTTCTAGTCCCAAGGTCACTGCTGCCCTACCATAGTCCACTCTTTCTCTCTCTCACTGAGTCGCACGTGGCTGAGCACTGTCACTGAAAGCACACCTTCCACCTTCCAATCATATTCAGTTCTTGCTTCTCCACTGTAGGGCAACCATGGGTATGAGAGTTTCCTCATTTGCTTCTGTACATCCTCATCTTCAAAACTCACTTGCAGACAGTCAGGGATTCCTCTGTAGCTCCTTCCTGAACCAGACTCTGTGAGTTTAATGCAGAAATGATGCCAGTTCTCTCTGGGCAACCGATTCCACTGTCCTGAGTTCTTCCCTAGGTCTTGTTGACTAGTTAATTGGTGGGTTGTATCAACTCCTGCTTACTTTGATTCTTCTAGAATGCAGGGTACTCTAGAACAGAAGTTCTAAAACTTATTTGACCTACCACCTTCTTTTCTGGAAAAATCCAAAAACATCAGTGACCTCCTGGGAATTTAACCTCTTTAAGCAAGCAAACAGAAAGTGACCCTCCCCCAACCCCCCATCCACTCAAGGCTACTACCGTCCCCATCGATAGTTCCAGCAACCCCCCAGGGGTCGCTGTTGCCCACTGTGGAAACTGCATTGCATTTTGTGAGCCCCATCTAATCTTTTTCTCTTATAGTGCCTCATATCTCAGTCTCTTGGGAGATGTTCAGTATATGTTGGAGAGATGGCTGGACATCCTGATTCAATTCTGTAACTCAGCAATGTAATTCAAAGTAATTCAATTCCATTACTCTCTTATTCTTATGTTATGGAGGATAGTCTGATGTAATGAAGATTCTTAAGACTAGAGATTTCTGGTGATGTGAAACCACCTTGAGGACAGTAAGATTAAAGGAGGTTTAGGGGGCTGGAGCAATAGCACAGTGGGTAGGGCGTTTGCCTTGCACGCAGCCAACCCGGGTTTGATTCCCAGCATCCCATATGGTCCCCTGAGCACCGCCAGGGATAATTCCTGAGTGCAGAACCAGGAGTAACCCCTGTGCATCACCAGATGTGACCCAAAAGGCCAATAAATAAATGAGGTTTATACCTCAGTGGAGTTCGAAAGTCAGAAGCAAAAACACTAAGTAGAAAATTAAGCAGATGACAGGCTTTGTGTCCAAAAAAAGAGAAAAAGAAAAAGAGAAAGCGGGGGGGGGGCTGGGGAGTTGGGGGTGGGGAGCGTTTTAATCTGTCCCAAAATGGAATTAGTGAGCTCCCATAAGTGGCGTGTTTCATCAGGGATAGGAAAATAGATATTTTGGATGATTGATTGGGTTAAATGGCCTTTAAGACCCTTCAAAATCTAAGGACTGTGATTGCTTTGGCTCTGCTCTCGGGCAGTTTTAAAATAGTAACGAAAGTCCTTTTTCTCCATAACCCTTTTGAAGACAGTAATTCTCATAACATCCTGTATTTTATGGCATGACATTTGGCTCCCTAATTCCCTGTCTTGTTCTCTTGTCAACTGTCATAAGAATATGTTGCCTTCCACATAACTCATGACCCTGAAATTCCATTTTGAAGCGAAGTGGTCTTGTAATTAGAACATGGGCATTGAAGTCAGGCAAGCTTATATTTATAGCTCATTCATTTGTTACTACCTGGGTGACATTGGAAAGTCTTTGGGTAAAGCCCCAGTTTTCTCAACAGTAAAATCGAGGTGAGAGAGAATATGAATAGATCTGATACATACCAAGTGTACATACTTCGAGAAGAAGTACACTTCTATGCCCTCTATCTTTCTGCTTTACAGTATCTGGCCGTTTAACTCACCAGGTTTGTTTCTTCAGGCACCCCATGTAATCCTACCACCATCTCGGTGAAGCTGAAGTGACATTTCCGTTATTTTCTGACTCCTTGCTTATTTGGATTTTCATTTTTACAATAACAAAATTTGGTATGTCCACATTCCATAGGTGATTTTACTATTCAGCAAGTGTTTGCATGATCGCTCTCACAGGCAACCTCATCTTACACATGTCTCTGTCACTGGCATGGTTTTCTTAGTAACCACACTTCTAGAAGGCAGACAGGTTTATACAGCTCTCAGCAGGAGACCCTATCTGGGTCATTTCACAAATAGGTATTTCTGAATCTCAGTAATGTTTTCTTACTTTCAGAAAAAGCTCTTAGAAAACCTTTTCTTGGAAGGGCCGTTTTGAGATCGTTCTTCCCCTGTAACTGCCTTCAGCAGCATAGAGGAGATACTCGGTTTTTCTCACATCATCTTTATCGCTTGCCATTCTGTTGCCGGTCTATACTATATGCTTCATTGAAAAAAGCATTTGTTGACACTTACATGAGATGTGGTGCTAGGATGGTAGATAAGATCAGACCTTCAAGTAGCTCCAGGCTAGCAGGAGACACCAGTGTGTAAAATCATAATGACAACACATTGTGATAAATCAGACACTAAAATGCACAGAAATAATAGAAAAAAATAGTAATTCAAGAAAATCTAGAACTTCCTGGAAAAACAGGTTTACAAAGTTTTTTAAAAGAAGGGAAAGGGGAGTAGGTAGGAAGGAAGAAAGAATTACAGCTCTTAAAAATGGTGTATTATTGTAAAGATAAACTGCAGTTTTCAGATGAGTAAAGCAGTTAGAAATTACTAGACATTAAAGTTTGGTATAATGAATGCCCTATAATAATGAACTAAGGAGGTAAGCCAAGGAAAGTAGTTTATAGAGGTGGAAAAGTTTCCATTTTTTAAGAGAGAAAAACAAAGTACCAAGTAGTGTCAAGCTGCACTTAAACCCAGAATTTTTTTTTTTTTTTGCTTTAGTGCTTTTGTCTGCCCAAGTAATAGAGAGTCTGGAACTTCAAATAATTTTATTGAATCTAATGACAAATTATACAGTGAATTCGACCCTGACTACAGAAGTCCAAAATGCTGCCCATAGTTTGAGAGTGCGTGTATTAAGCACCTGCAACATGTACAGCTTCGACAAGTGACTGTGTGTAACACTAAGATAAAACACAGTCCCATCATCCCCCGACATATTTCAGTGTTGGGAGTATTTAGGGAGCCACAAACAGAGAAATGAAAAGACAAGTTACCTATTGTGGGTAGCAAACTTTTCCCCATCCATTTTAACAGCGGAAACCTCGGACTTTGCTGAACCCAGCACCCACCTCACCAACAACCAGCACCCCTGAACCGGACACCAGCACTGTGCCCCAAGATGCTGCCACCATCCCCAGCTCAGCCATGCAGGCCCCCACAGGTAAGAGCAGCTCCCGGGACCAGCACAGTCCACTCCAGGCCCCGGAATACTGCCTCTCATTTTGAACCGATAGTTTTTCCGTACCCACTCTATCAATCTAAAGAGAATCTTTAGTCATTTGGTATTTGATTTTGACACTTAGAATAGTTCCAGAGAAACCTTCCAAAACACTCAGAGAAAGTTGGGTAGATGTTCTGTGAACACAGGACTGGGTTTGGGGGGGAGAGAGGTTAGGGTGGGGCTGTGGCCAGCACCAGGAGCCCCCAGGCCAGCTCTGAGGTAACTCTGCCCTTTCCATTGTGGTAAATCATCCCAGCAGTGCACCATATCAGTCTCACCACACACTGATATGGAGGAAACTTCTCTGGTTATTTTTAACATCAGCAATTGTGCAGACCTTGATAACTGTGAACTTGACTTTGTGAATCATTAAGTGACTCAGTGGCTAAACCTGGTAGCTAAAGTGAGTGGGTGAACAGGGACTCCTGGAGCCACTTACAATGTGTGTGGAGGCATCGTCCCACCAACAGGGTCTCTGAGAGGTCTGCAGGGGTTCTGAGAATTCACATCAGCTCTGACACTATGTGGCAGGAAGAGGCAGTGAACTCCTAATGAAGGGGTCATGCCCACTCTAAGGACATTTTTAGAGGCAGAGGACCAAGCTCAGTCTCTCGGGGTCACCCTCTGCTTCAGAATTCAGTAACAAGGGGCCAGATCAATAGTACAGTAGGTAGAGCACGTACCTTGCAGGTGGGTGACCCAAGTTCCATCAAGGGGCCAGATCAATAGTACAGCAGGTAGAGCACGTACCTTGCAGGTGGGTGACCCAAGTTCCATCCCCACGACCCCATATGGTTCCCTGAGCCCTCTAGGAATGATTCCTGAGCATTGAGCTAGGAGTAACGCCTGAGCACTGCCAGGTGTGACCCAAAAACAAACAACAAAGAACCTAGTAACAAGCCCACAGTGCTACCTGTGTTTCTGTCAACTCACTCCTTGGGTACCAATAATGTACTCGAAGCAGCAGTGATACAGTGGTCACCATAGCTGCCTCCCAGCTACTTGCAAGAATTGTCTCACTAGATCATGGTCCCTTGATCGACTTCTACTCCTGACCCCCTTTTTTGCCTCTTGAGCGATAGCACAGCGGTAGGGTGTTCGCCTTACAAGCGGCCAACATGGCCGACCCAAGTTCGATTCCTCCGCCCCTCTCCGAGAGCCCGGCAAGCTACCGAGAGTATTCGATATGCCAGACACAGTAACAACAAAGTCTCCAATGGAGACGTTACTGGGCCTGCTCGAGCAAATCGACGATCAACGGGAGGGCCTTTTTACCTTACTTTTTAAATTTTTATGTGACCTGGGGTATATAAATATATGAAATAGGTAAATAAACCGAACACTTACTGAAAATAAATCCTAAAGGTAAAGGTAAAGGTAAAGGCCCTCCCGTTGATCGTCGATTTGCTCGAGCGGGCCCAGTAACGTCTCCATTGGAGACTTTGTTGTTAAATTAAATCCTAAAGGAATTAATTTTTTAAATTTTATTTTCATAAAGTTGTTACAATAATTTATTGCATTCAGTATTTCAATACTAATCCCACCACCATTACTTTTCCACCCACCACTATTCAAATTTTCCCATCACCACTCAAGCCTGCCCCGTAGGCAGATGCTAAATAATTTATTTTGTATTGCTTGTTATGAGATGTTGTGTGGCTGTTTTTGTGGCCATGTGCTCCTGATATTTAAAATTTTAAATAACTGGGGTCTGGAGACATCTATGAAATCTGCTTCTCTCTTTCAAGATCATTTGTGAGTCTGTATCATGGCTGTTACTGTGCTTAAATGGTGCCCAGAGGCAATTTGTGGGCGTGACTGCCAGGAGACCGGAAGGGCTGGGAGGTGAGAGGAGAAGGCGGCCCATTCCCGACTCCATGAAGCCTGGAGTTTTCAGTCACTAGTTCCACATATCCTGGGTTTCTCAGCAGGTTCATTTAAAATTCTAAAGGAATTTATTTAAAACAATGTTTTTATGAAATTTTGCAACATCATATAAGGTTGCAACCCACAGTTTATAAGAAGCTAAGCTCTAGATCACCAATTTATTACTGGGAAAGAGAAACACAGGACAAGACTTGGGGAAAGCGAGTAGGGCTGGCCATGGTCTCAGATGTGCCACCCTCCCAGTGCTGCCTGGTGTTCACCAATCTGAAAGCTCTCACAACTACCTCTCTTGGGTTTTTAATGGAGATTCCTTTAGTGTCGACTCCTATCGCCAACACCCTGCTCAGTTGATGAACTCCTGGCTACTGGGAATTAAATTCAGTCTCCAGTTCTTCCTCCTTCCCTGAGGTCTAGATGTGGACTAGAAGTTTCAACCCTTTAATCACATGATTCTTTCTTTAGCCAACCACCCCCGGTCCTGAAGTGCTTCCCCAAAGTTGCCTTCATTAATAGAACAAGAGAAACCTTTAGCACTTCCAATACTTAAAAATTTCCAAGGGGAAAACAATGCTGGTGGGAAGGTGCAATGGTAGTGGGATTGGTGGTGGAATATTGAATGTAATAAATCTCATGAACAACTCTATAAAAAATTTTTTTAATTCCAGGGGGGGCTGGAGAAATATTGTAGTGGGTAGGGCACTTGCCTTGCATGCAGCTGACCCAGATTCAATTCTCAGAATCCCATATGATCCTAGGAATGCCACCAGTAGTGATCCCTGAGCACAGAGCCAGTAATGAGCCCTGAGCACTGCTGGGTATGGCTCAAAACACAACAAAAATTTTTTTCTAAGGATTTTTGAAGCTGTGAGCCAGTAGTGTGGATGAAGACCAAATATGAATGAGAAATTTTATTTTGGCTCTCTAGATGATCAATTATAAACTTCTTATGAATCACCATCATAGATAATTAACTGTCACTGTGTGTATATATATATTAATTAATAATAATTAATAAATATATATATATATTTATACACGTGTGTGTGTGTGTGTGTGTTCCCTTCTTCACAAGCTGTCTGAAGGCAACTCTGAAAAGAGTTACCCCTTCAGAGTAAATAGGCAACCTCCTAACGGGAGAACTATCAAAAGGGTGATTTTTGCCATGTGGAAATTAAGTTACCTATAAGAAATTTTACTCTTGTTCCTCTGCCTTCTTGAAGGAAATCTAAGCAGTTGGAATAATTCCCAGGAAAGTCAGGGCAGTCATTTCTTAGAAGGACTTGAAAGCGCCTCCATTCAAGTCTTAGAATATTAGACCTTGAGGGGAAGGGTGACCACAGCATCTCTCCATATACCTTTTGGAAGATAACAGGGCTGCCCTGAGGCATTTATGTCCAGCTCTGGTCAGGGTCCCAGCACATGGCTTCTTGTAAAGTATGCAGCTATACCCAGCCAGTTACTAGGTTTGCTTAGTCTAAGGAAGTTCCTCACTTAATGAAAAGTGACCTTTAGCCCTTAGCTCCCTGGACAAGGAAGTGTCACACTGTGTCCTTTATTACCTATCTTCCACTTTTTAAATTGCATGGCACTTTTACTTTTAACTTCATGATTTTTCTTTTTTTTTAGAATCTAGAAATGGATTTATTCAGATACATACAACTGATTATCAGCAACAGTACAAAAGCAAGTCAATAGAGAAAAAATATTCTTTTAAACAAATAATACAAAACAGTTGATTCCCCCTTCATGCAAAAAAAATTTTTTTATCTAAACCATGCACAATTTACAAAAAAAAAATGCCCAAACTCTGTTATTAAAAGCTTTGTAAATCAAGGTGCCTAAATAAAATAGATACTACTACTAATAAAGAAAATACTTTGGAAGTTAACTTCATGATTTTTCCAAAATTTCATTTTATTAAAGCACCGTGAACTATAAAGTTATTCATAGTTGGGTTTTTGAGATACAGTGTTCCATCACCAATCCTGCCACCAGTGTCAACTTCCCCCCACCAGTGTTCCCAGGTTCCCTCTCCTACCCTCTCCTACCACACCCCAGCCTCAGCCTTCAATCTTAACAGGCACCTTTTAAATGTGGTTATTAAAATTTGGATCTCACAATTTCAGTGTAGTTGACTCTGTGGTTTGAATATTTATCTCTATTATTCCTTAACACCACCCACGTACCTGAATCCCATTGACCCTTGCCCCTGTTGCTTTCCATCTATCTCTTCTCCTCTTCCCCTTCACTCTATTTTTTCCCTTCTCCTCCATTTACTGTAGGGCCGAGGGGGGGATCTAGGCATCCCCCCTTTAAAACATTGCATTTCCTTATCCAGTTACTCTAAATATCACATATAAGTGATATTATCCTGTGTTTGTTCTTCTTCTGCCTTACTTCATTTAACATATCTTCCAGTTCTATGATGCAGCAGATTGCATAATTTCATCATTGCTTACAGCTGTATAGTATTCCGTTGTGTATATATGCCATGTCTTCAAAATCCACTTATCTGTGGTTGGACATCTAGGTTGATTCCAAATCTTTGCCTAGTCCTTTAAAAACATATTTCTAGTGTGTGGGGGGTGTGTGTGTGTGTGTGTGTGTGTGTGTGTGTGTGTGTGTGTGTGTGCTCAAGAAGCAGTAGACTTGCTTCTTTGTCTGCACAGGGCTTTTCCACTTCTGCTGGTTACTCTAACAAACCCGAGTTTTCAGGGAGATCTCCCAAGCAGTGCATGAACTTTGCTGTGTGGTGCAGGACTTCTCAGGCCCAAAAGTGCTAGAGACTAGCAGGGCCACCCCTTTGATATTTAGGGGCCACCAGGGCAATGCCCAGTTGTGATGTGGCCGGCACAGGCAGTGTCGGGGACATAGTTTGAGACTTGTTAATGCAAGTGTGGTGCTCCAAACCTTTGTACTCTCTTCCTCAACCCTAGATTGTTGAGTTTTTAATCATAAAGATACTGGCTTTTGTCAACTCTTTTTTTTTTTCTGTAGTTATTTGTGTGAATCTACTTTAGAAATATTACACCCTGTGTGATGGATTAAATTAA